ACGGCCCCGACCACTGCCGCTCGGCCTGACCGGAGAAAACCGTAGCAGGAAGCTAGCGAAGTCGTAGTATATATCGTCAAATAGAACTGCCCGGTAAACCGTAGGCAGAGAGGGAGAAGAGGACAACAGGCCCGGCCGGGCAAGTGACCCCGGGCCACTCTGGTAGCATAGTTTCAAACCTGGTAAAATGAAAAATTCGGAAATTCCATGATAATAATTGCCCTTACTTACAATTGGAAAAGAGAAAAAAAAAAAAAAAAAGAAGGAAAGTTAAGACGTAACAAATCCACGCTTCAAACGAGCGAAGCTCAGAGAGCGCAATTCGGTTCACATGCACATGTGCAGGTAATCACTTCGGAAATACTCTCACTAGGGATGTTTCTGAATGTATTTTGTGCATAAGCGAAGCCCGATCCAGTCCTTCCCCCACGCCACCCCTCCCCCCCCCCAAAAAAAAAAAAAAAAGAAGTCTTGGTATGCCCTCATGCAGCCCTGCCAGTCAACACATAGTTTGTAAACAGAATTATCAGAATACCGAAAATTTTTCAAAAAAAGTCAAGACAATCACAGATATTCGGAGACATCAACAAAAAAAGCTGTGCATTATTATTGAGTCATATTGACAGCATTGCACAGAATTAACAGAATACCAAAAAATTTTCAAAAAAAGTCAAAAAAATCACAGATATTCCGAGACATCAACAAAAAAAGCTGTGCATTATTATTGACAACATTGCAATCATCGCGCTAGCAAGCAAACCTTATCCAGTTTTTATTTACACACTTATCCACTCTTTTTTTTTTTTTTTTTTTAATAATAACACTTATCCACTACTTAGTCCACTCGTTGGTGACTATTTGTTTACACTGCACAGCATCTTGACCACACTAGCAAATGAAAGATCAACCTAATAAGCCAAATGACGAGTACGTCTCTGCTTCCCTAAACTACTCCAATCATTCTCCTACGCACCCACAGCCTGTTGCTTTCCACACGGTTAGTGTTCACGAGCGGCACGGTCAAACCCTTTTTTTTTTTTTTTTTTTTTTTTGCCCAGACCTAACTAACTAGCATTTGGAAGTGACATCACATCCGAGGACGAAGAGGAGCCTTTATGAAACGGATGTAATCCTCGTTTTACGGCGGCAAAGCCAATTCCGGTGCTTCTCTTACCACCACCGTCTTGGAGAAGAAGGGATTGTCGCACCCATTTAAAAAAAAAAAAAAAAAAAAAAAAAAAAAAAAAAAAACAGTTTTACAAAGGCATAGTAAAGTTTGACTGCAGTCTATGAACTTATGAAGGCTCAATGACTCAGGCACAGATTGCAGAGCAATTGGGCTAAGATGGGAACCATCTTCCAACCTCCTGCTGAACACAATTGAAGGCCGCATCGATTCCACGGCGACCGACCGATTCCACGTGGAGACAAACTTCATCGAACCCGACCGATTCCGCGCACGGACAAATTTCCGTGCAACAACCAACCGGTTCCTTGTACAGACTTCCCACAACCGACCGATCGATATCCTTGTGCAGACGAGACCAACTTCCAAAAGAAGCGATCTGCTGTTTATTGCATCCAGCCAGCATCTCCGAAGACATCGAAACCGAATGATCGAAACGTTCAGTATCTCATGCTTTCTCCACTTGGTCAGCATTCGATAGCAGCATCACCGAAAAGGCGTCAAGAACCAACCCACGACCGACTCCGCTTGGAGACAGACTTCTGATCAGAAGCGATCCGCTGTATTCGTTGCCGTCAGCCATCATCTCGGACGACATCCCGAAACGAACGAAGCATCAAACTATCTTCTTGTACATCCGTCAGATGTTTTCGTGATGTATTCGTGATACATTCTGCACTTGGTCAGTTTTCCGTAGCAAAACCACCGGAAGGCGGACCATGAAGGAATCTGACAGATCCACTGTTCATCCCTGCAATCGACCGCCTGATGGTTCAGGAAGAGCCGTCGCAGAACACGTACGATCCCCTGTTTGCCACGGCCGTAATCTCTGACGACATCACGAATAAGCGATCCGCTGCAGGTGTAATCTCTGACGACATCACGAATAAGCGATCTGCTGCAGGTGTAATCTCTGACGACATCACGAATAAGCGATCAGATCATTTGCTACCATTGCAGAACACGTACGGATAACCACCTCCACAAATAAACGTCAATTTCCCTGTTTGCTGCTCCAAGCGATCGCTTGATGGTTCAGGAGGAGCCTTTGCAGACTGTTTGCTGCAGGGTTACTCTCTGACGACACCACGGACGAACGATCAGCTGCTGCAGCCGTAATGTCTGATGACATCACGAATAAAAAGATCAGCTGTGGCTGTAATCTCTGATTACATCGCAAATAAACGATCAGACCATTTGCTACAATCGCAGAGCCCATACAGAGAACTGCCTGCACAAAAGCCTTGTTTGCTGTTTATCGCTGCTAGCGACCGCTTGATGGTTCACGAAGAGAGCCATCCATACCTTGGCACAGCAGACGCTTCGCGTCTGAATCCCACGAAGGCGCGAAAGCGCGTAAGAATTTGACTGTCTTTGCGGACACCGCTACATACATAAAAAGACTTTCAAACCCAAGGTTTCCTCAAAGGGAATGAGCCACAACCATGTTTTGGATATATGCACTTTCCTCAAAGTGCAACTAACACAACTTGACAGTCAATAGTATCCACTACTATCCACCTACCTCTCTTCTTTCTCTCACATCACCTACCTGCCTCTGTTAATTTCTCTCACATCACCTACTTCCCCCCACTCTCTCTCCCCCAGCCCCTCTCTCTCTCTCTCTTTCTCTCTCTCTCTGTGTCTGTGCAGGGGTGTGTGTGTGCATATGGCAACTATGGATTGCGCCACATCACGTGGGGGAAAAAAACAGCTCTCTCTCCTCCCTACCTCTCTTCTTTCTCTCACACATCCCCTACCTACCTCTTCTTTTCCTCTCACATCCTTCCCTCCTTTCTTCTTCACACTCCTTAAGAGACGAGAAAACGCAAGTGGAGCTTCTGATTCAGGAAGAGAGCACTGCAGCCTGCAGCCACCCATAGCAAGTACAACCTACGTATCTCTCTTTTTCCCCTCGCATTTATCTACTCCTTTTCTTCACTCTGGTTCAGGAAGAGAGTAACCTAGTTCATCAACAGCTACGACTACCTACCTCTCCTTTTCCCATCCCATCATGTACTTTCACATAGTCCACGCACTCCTCACACTCCACACCATTGCACTTATCCCAACTCTCGGACATCACACCTGAACAACTTTCACAGGCAAAATCACCCGCCTCCGCTACACGCCCCTCCGCCCCCCCCCCCCCCCCCCCCCCCCCCCCCCCCCCCCCCCCCCCCCCCCCCCCCCCCCTCTTTTAATACAGAAAAAAACGACTATAGAAACAGACGCGGCGGCATATTATACAGAGGCAATACCTCGGAGACGAACCTAGTGGGACAAGCCGAGCGCCGAGAGAGCAAAGAAGGTGGTGGAAACAGATTTACAGACCCAGAACCCCTCCTGCCTGGCGCACAAGCTGAGAGGGGAGCTATGAGGGGTATAAGATACCCCTCTTAGTTCAAAGATCCCGTGGATGGGTCAGGGCAAGGTACTTAAAAGTTAAAAAAAAAAAAAAAAAAAAACGGGTTGAGGTACGTGACTACGTGACTTCTTGTCAGTTGGCTACCGAAAAAAAAAAAAAAAAGGTACGGACTACTGTTGAAATACAGACTCTGTATTTCATCAAAGTTCGCAGCCAGATACGAGCAGATGACCAGAGTAGAAGTTTGTCACACTGATTTCCCCCCCTCTGTGGCTGTCGCTCAACATCAAGAGGCAATTAAAAAAGAAAAAAAAGGAAGAGCAAAACAAGGGAGGAGAGGCAATCGACTTGAATCCATCAGCAGCTTGCCAGGAGCAGCTATAGCAGTCTAGAGCTCAGCACACTGTACTTGGCCAGCATCGAGAACAGGTGCGGCCGGTTTGCGAAGAAGCTTCCAACCGGAGGACCGCGGGATTAGCGACGGAAATTAAGGATGCTGATCTCTTTTTCTTTTTTTTTTTCTTTTTTTTTTTTGGATCTCATTTCGTGATGCACGGCACCGAGCTTTACAGTACAGGGGGGACATGGCAAAGGGGTGCCTACAAGGGTGGGGGAAAGAACCGGAAAATGTATTTGGTCATCATCGAGGGCAGGTGCAACGGGTTTTGGGTCATGACGAACATTTCTGAACCACCCTCCTCTGAGAGGTCCACAAGGAATGAGCTCCGTCCGCTGCACAAAAAGCTACGAAAAGCAGCGAAAGAGTAGTACATGAAGACAAAAAAAAAAAAAAAAAAAAAAAAAAAAAAAAAAAAAAAAAAAAAAAAAAAAAAAAAAAAAAAAAAAAAAAAAGGCGTGCGGTAGGTGAAGTCCACTGCAGTGCAAGAATCTGGCCAATGCAAACGGTTAAAAGTTTAAGAGGCTCGCCACACAGGCTGTCGAAAATCGATCGAAATTCTTCAACAGCTGTCAGGGATTTTTCGACAGTCACGCGTTCGACAATTTTTCCCCCTATGGCCACACAGGCTGTCGAAAGGGCGTGGCTGTAGAGATTGGCAAGTCGACGCCCCCTTTCGACAGGTCCTGTGAGGCGATGCGAGCGGCCTGTACCTGGCCCATAAACGAGGATATGGGGTAGTGCCTGGCCACACAGACTTTCGACGGCGCTGCGGACAAAAGGGCCACATTTGTCAGTGGGTAGTGCCTGAAGTGAAAAAAGCAAGCGTTTCTCGACACCTCCCAGGAGCACTGTCGAGAAACCGTGCACCGCAGGCGGGAGGAAACTCGTTCAACACGGCGGCTGTCGAAAGAGGAAGTCTGACACTTGTCCAATTTTTTTTGCGACGGAATTCTCGACAGTCTGTGTGGCGACGAGAAACTGTCGAAAACCTCATTTTCTACAGCCTGTGTGGCGAGCCTCTAAGAAGGGTTTTTAAACTCCAACTTAACCCACCAGCACCCCGGGCCCCCAGAGTCCAGACTGGCGGACTTGCAATGTGCGGCAAATTTTTCCAAAAGGCCAACGGCGCAATATTTTTCGCTTTTTCGCTGCCGCTGCCAGTCCCATTGCTGGTTCGGTAGCCCCCCAAATTTGAGAAGGCCCCGAGCCTCCCAAATTTGAGAAGGCTCCGAGCCTCCCAAATTTGAGAAGGCCCCAAGCCTTCAAAGTTTGAGAAGGCCCCGAGCCTCCAAAATTTGAGAAGGCCCCGAGCCTCCCAAATTTGAGTAGGCCCAACGTTTGACCTTGCCTGGTGCCGTGTACTGGCGGCTGGCGGTTTACGAGGGTAACCTGCTTTGACCGAGGGTGATAACTTGTCACCTTACAAGAGTTTAACCCCGATTAACCATATAGGGTTAACGAGTTGAACCCGGTGCTTAAACCACCAGTGTGTTTCTCTGGTACCTTGCTCCGGAGTCAAGATACTGCAAAATCGCCGCCTGGGCCCGGGCCTGGGCCTACCGGAGGGAAAAGGGCTAGCGGTGTCTGCCAAGATTGTGGCCGCCACAGTTCGTCTCTTCTAGGGATAGGCAGCACAGCAGCACAGCATGTCGGGAAAAGCAGTCGCCGACCCCGACTCGTGGTTTACGCCACGCTGCCTTGAGATGCTTGCTTTTCCCCCCCCCCACATCATGTCGGTCTACGTGCGCCCTGCTGGATGGTCCCGTAACGGCCTAGAGAATGCCTAAGGGGGTGGGTGTGAAAAGAAAAACAAAAAAAAGGAACTGTGTCATCTGCAGACTCCCGCGACCAGGATCCCGATGGATGGCCATCGGAAGAGCTCCTCGCAGAGCAAAAATCGGGCTGTTGCTGAACTTGCCGGTGCCGCCTCAGGCTCCACATTCCTGGCATCCGAGAGAGGGAAGGGCATCCATTCTTGCACAAAAGGCTTGGGAGTGGTGGTATTTAAATCCAAGGGTTAAACCCGGTTAAACCCAGTCAAACCCAGTTAAGCCCGGTTAAACCTGGTGCTGAAAACATGGTTAAGAGGCTGAACCCAGTTCAACCACCCGTACGTACATCTGGGCCTCGTTTTGCCGAGGCGGATTCCCCCTGCGTGCCAAGCTTTTGACGAAATGCCAGCACGGCGCTTTGTCTTGTCGTTTGGCTAGTGCCACCAGCACTTTGGGTCTCCCACCCCAGCTGTCGTATGAACCTGGCCGGAGTGCCTCGACATATCAAAAAAAAAGAAGCCTCTGAAATTGTCGGATGGGCTCCATTACGATTCTCAAGTTTGCCCGAGCGAGATTGTACATCGGGCGATTTGACGCCATTTTTTTCAACGGTGAAACGCTTAAACCACCCGTACTTCCTGAGCCACCTTTTACCGAGGTGAATTTCTGCCACACGCCGAGTCTTGTTGAACCGGCGCACGCACAAAATCTATATTTTTTGGTGCCATGCACAGCCTTCTCTCTATTTCGCAGCAACAGCTGCCATAGCTATCGTTAGTAGCGAGTGTGTGTGTGTGTTCGAGTGTTAGAGTGATGCGTGTGGGATATCCAGGGTGATCCAGTGTATGTGAACAGTGAGATGTTTGGGCGCTGAAGTCGCCATAGCCAATTGAGAGTGAACTCGTATCTGAAAGCCATATCTCTGAGCTTTGAGTGGGCGCATGTCGCCAGTATGCTGCGTTACTGTTTACATGTGTGAAAAGTGTGTTTGAAAACGAGTCTGATTGCATAAGAGTCCCGATTTAGTCAACTTGGCTGGGGCTATGTACTGGTGGTTTAATTAATCTTTAATCTTTAATCTTTAATCTTTAATGAAGTTTAATCTTTAAAACTTCAAAATTTCAGTAACCTGCTGCATTACCAATGGGTAAAGACTCTAAAGACTCTAAAGACTCAAAAGACTCAAAAGACTCAAAAGAGCCTAAGGAGATCAAAAGCTGCTTAAACCACCAGTACCCGAGGGGGTCTTAGGCCCCCAGGCCTCTGGGGAGAGGCTCTGAGGCAAATGCATATGGACCTGCACGGCGCACCGATTGAGACACGGCGACCGCGTTAACGCGCCTAAAGAACGCGGAGGCAGTGGGGTGGTTTAACCAAAGTAAAACATCTGTAGCTAACCAAGGGCTTAATCGTTTAATCCGCGGTTAAATGAACCAAAGGGTTAATAAATGGCGCGGCTTGGAAGTTACGGCGAGACTCTCACTGAGTCGAGTCAATGAAGGAAGGAATCAGATGTAGCGCAAATGGTGGTGAGTGTATTGGAGGGGTCTAAACTTTAAAGGGGTCTAAATTTTAAAGGGGTCTAAATTTTAAACCTGATTAACCAACGGGTTAATAGGTGTATCGGAGCCATCGCCGTTGGGGTCAACAGAGTTGGACTATGGATGACTAAGTCAGGACTGAAAAGTCTGTGTGTTGTGTAACCCAAGGATTAATAAAAGGGGTCTAAATTTTAAACCTGATTAACCAACGGGATAAAAGGTAGAAAAGAAAAGGCAGAAGTGTGTCACTTTAACCCAAGGGTTAAAATGTTCGCACTCTGTGTGTAACCATCGTACGGGTATTGCTCAGCGGAGATTGGACGTCGTGAGGACTGTGTTGGGAGTCCCTGTAGTTTAAGGACAAAACAAAATAAAAAAAATATTCTCAAGTAAAATGTCTATAACTTCTAAAGACTCCGTATATACAACAGAATCCCCAACAGAATCACAGTTCTTCCCTCCCTCCCTCCCTCCCTCCCTCCCTCCCTCCCTCCCCCCCCTCCTCCTTTCCTTTTCGTTTGTTTCCCGAAGGGGCTAGAGTCCGCTTGACTCTATTATTGCTGTATCTACTAGGATTCCAACTCTTGATCTGCTTATCGACGGTTAACACGTGTCTATCATTCGCAGTCAGGCATTTCAAAAAAGTCTCACGCTAGGCAAAATTCTGTTACCGGTAAGAAAAAAAAGAGGAGCTTGCCTCAAAAAAAAAAAAAGAAAAAAAAAAGAAGGGCTAGCCTCTCTCTCTCTCTCTATTATGTCTATTGTTATATCCATGAGGATTTGAAATCCTGATCTGCTTATCAAACAGTTAACACGAGTTTATCGTACAGCGACCAGGCGGATCACAAGTCTGAGGGCGTACTCACACTAGCTCTACCTTAAATGTATCGGACCGCATTTATGGCCGCACCTGGATGCACCTGACCGCAATTACATCCGTAACACAAGTAGAGAAGTCCTGGTGTGAGTATGCCCTGATACTTCGAGGAAAAGCCGCAAAACTTGCGGCAAAAGGCAAAGGCAAAAACACGTTCCGAAGTTTTTTTTTTTTTTTTTTTTTTTTTTTTTTTCCCTTCATAGCTCAGCTGTAAATAACTACGATGACTATGACTCAAACACACGGTAAAATTTACAACAGAGGGCCTGTTCACACTTCTGTGTTTTTTTTTTTTTTTTTCGAGTGAAACTGCCCCTAATTACACAGAAAAATGCATTCTCCCCCCCACCCACCCCCCCCAAAAAAAAGAAAAAAAAAAAGAAAAAAGAAAAATGCATTCTTCATTGACCCCTGAAAATCCCAGTCTGAGTATGCCCTTCTTCCTGGCATACTTGCTCCTCTCTCCCCCCTTCCCCCCTCCCCCCCCCCTTCCCCCCTCCTTCCCCCCCCCCCTCGCCTTCCCGAGGGTAGTCAGGAAGGAACACACCTACATCGGTTGCTCCTAGAGAAATAGAAACATGATCTAACATATGGGTCTTAGCCTCATAGGGCACGTGCACACTGGGGCTTTTTCAACCGAACCTGGTCGTAGTTAACGGCAAATACATCCACGGAAGTGGTATCGTGAGTGTGCCCTGCCCGACACATGCCCTGTGAGAATACTACAACAGAGCACCCAACACTTTATGCCTGCACACAGCCTGAGAGAGGAAGGGGGGGGGTTGCTGAAGCTAGAGACGGAACTCCCTGGAAGGCCTGAATCGACAAGAAGCGCTGAGCTGGGGCACCTGCAGCAGCAACAAAGGAACAAGCAGCCAACAGACACACAGGATGTCAGAAAAGACACTCCCTTTTTTTTTTTTTTTTTTTTTTTTTTACAGAAAGACACTCCCTCAAAGGAAAGGAAAGGACTGCCCGGCAAGACAGTACAAGCATGAGAGCAGACAAAAAGGGTACACCCATGCAAAACAGTCTGCTACGCACACATTAAATAGAAAGTCGAAATGACTGGAACTCTGTTCAAAAATCAATCACAGCAAACAACGCGGTCACTTCCTCGACGCGTTTCGTCTACCACCGCAGGTAGACTCATCAGGAGGCATAGAGCTGCGAAGTAGAACAGCATTCACTTATCAACCGATACCAATCCTATCTCTAATCCGAGCAAAAGAATAACCCGATCTGAAAGTCATATCGATGGTCTGAGAGCAGAGAACGTGCGATATCCTGCCGAAAGAAGGCATAGGAGCCACCCAAACCGTCGTCGGGAAGAGATACTAAAGCAAGCCACCTGTCATATCCGCGTCTGGCAGAGTACCTGCACAATGCAACAAAACACAGACACTCAAGCAGATCACAAGTAAACAAACAGACAGAGACTCCTTTCGGGAGTGCTTGCAGACGAGCCACGATCGCGTGGGTAATCAGCAGCGTCTTCCTCGGTCAAAACCGACTCCTGCGCCGGTGCCAGCGGAACACCTGTAGATGTGCTGGCATGGAGGAGACAGATGGCTCAGGCTGTACCAGCAGAACAACACTTACGATCAGCGAACGACGGAGCAGCGGAGCCCCGAAGCAGCACACCGTCGAAGGAAGATGTCTGCGAAGTGGTGGTATATAACCGATCGTACAAGCACCCAACAGGGTAGATGTCCCATCAACCGTCTCGGGTTCTGAAGAGCAACCTCGACAGAACTGGTCACTCGCAGAACCGAAGGGACCAGCTGGAAAAGGTTCCAAGCCAAAAAACCGGGAAAGATACATTGTGCAGCCTGCAGACACTCCCCGAGTCTGTCCCATAAGCATTCCCTGGGCCCATAAGGACTCGTACGGCCTCTGGCAATCGTAAGTAGCGCCGCCACGAAAGAGTCATGGAACGTTACAAATATTCGAGAGAACATACCTGCCTCGAAACCATTCGTAATTCAGAAACAGCAAAAAAGCTGACCCTTGGCCAAAAAAATATAGTAACCATCTACCGAAGGGGCCAAACCGATACCCGATAATTTAACAGTGCCTATTATAAAAAAAACAGTACCTCAGAAAAAAACAAATCAAATTACCAGGCCCTAAGGGCCTACTTGGCAAGGATGCCAAGCCCCCAAATCACACGCAAGCAGCTACCACCTCGGCAATCGACGGGCCGCACTTAGAACCAAATCGCTGAAAGACCTTCGCAACAGACCGCCTCGGGTATCCTCGCATTAATAGCTCCCGTCTAACGACAAGGAGAGCCTCATGCTTCCCCCAAGCATCACTGCAAGGCGAAAAATCCTATGCAAGGTACTAAGAATTGCCCCAACCTTAGCTTTCTTGCTAGAATAGGAGGCAAAATCCTGGAAGCAGCCAAAAGTGAGGCCCCCAGCGCCCCAGATTGAATCCGCATTCTTAAGAATAACCGCGTAATGAGACCCCATGTTTGAAGATAGTGACCCCAGCAAACGTCCATGCAGACTCGGACTCATCAGTGCGAATCAACCTAAGAGAGGAACCATAACATTTGGAAAAACCAGCAACAATATCGAAGGACCGCCAAAAACCGACATGTGATCTAACAGCCACAAAAATAGTCACATCGTCTACTACCCTAAAACCGTCCACCAAAACCTGATCCCGTCCCAATGAAGAAAGGAAACGCCATTCCGCAAAAGCACAAAGGATGCAAGCCAACGGGCAACTGGAGGATTTGCCCATCGGCACTCCCACAATCTGTCGAAGGAGGACTCCCACGGAGTAAATGAAAGTGAAACGCAAATCAAAGGCAACCATCGCCCGTACTATAGCGAACGAGACAAACCAGCATTCCACCCGTTTCTTTCCAAAGGAAAGGGAAGCCGACTTACCTCTTTTAGACACATTGACCCCATCGAATCCCTTCTGGCGAAAGGTAGATAGGAGCCACTCAACAGCCTGCAGAAGTTCAGCATGCGGGAGAGACACGAACATATCTTTGACGTCGAAAGAAGCCAAAAGCAAATCGCAGTAATCAGGGAAACCACGAAACCGACGCTCCATTCTTTCCAATCCTGGGATCAAGTCCATCACCGCACGGATGTTGAAGTTGGAATGCGTGGGCAGAGAAAACAACAGACAGTTCAAAGCTCGAGAAACCCGTGAACTAGCCAAGCGGGCTGGATCAGAACATGTAGGCGAAATCGGACGCCATCGAGACAAATCTTTGTGTTTGGGTAACACATAGTCATCCCCAAAATGCCCTGCAGCATCCCACTTACCAAGACAATCCAGCTGCGCAGCTTCAAACTCAGAACGCATGGTCGTCATTACCGCTTTTACTTCAAAGAAATTCTTTCTCCTCCATATCATCCAGTTGGCGCCTAGGTGTCCAAAAACGAGATGCAGACGGCATTGAGGAACCACTAGGAGGGTTGCCACGAGCAGAAGGGCATTCCCTAGCGAAATGCCCACCCTTCTCCTCCACAAGTGAAGCACTTATGGTCGGAAGCCATGGCGGCAATCGAGGGCGAACGTAAAAAGCGAGGATTCGTAATGTCTACGAGAGGTCAGGTAATCTAAGCAAAGAAAGATCGAGAAATCCAGAAATAATCGAAGGCAGGAACCGTGGGGATCGATCACTATTACGACTGATAGCAGGGCGTCAGGTCGCAATATATAGAGAGAACTTCATAGCTAATCCTGACGAACCACGATTCTAAACCTATCAGTTACATCATCATAAAAAACCCAAAGCCTAATCAACAAATCGCCATCGCTAAGGAAAAACGCACATCGTAGCAGCGCCCTCTCCATGGCAAAGGCACAAAGGCGCGAAGACGCGAAGAAACATGTGATGGTCAAAAAACTGATTGATCTATGATCTATCCATGTGGAATGGTCCCTGAATAGTCCCTGGATAGCAGTGATAGGCAAAAAACTGATTGATCTATGATCTATCCATGTGGAATGGTCCCTGAATAGTCCCTGGATAGACAGATAGATTCAGTGACTAAAGCTGGAATGGTCCCTGAATAGTCCCTGAATAGTCCCTGAATAGCCCTGAATAGTCCCTGAGATAGATTCCATGACTAAAGGTGGAATGGTCCCTGAGTAGTCCCTGGATAGACAGATAAAAGCTGGAATGGTCCCTGAATAGGCCCTGAATAGTCCCTGATTAGGCCCTGGATAAACAGATAGATTCAGTGACTAAAGGCGGAAATGGTCCCCGAATAGTCCCTCGATAAACAGATAGAAGGATGACCTATCCAGGCATCTATCTACCTGCGGAAGCAACAGAGGAACAAGCTGCCAACAGACACCCTGCTCCCTGAATACTCCCTGAATACTCCCTGAATACTCCCTGAATACTCCCTGAATACTCCCAGGTCGTCGGAACACGGAGTCCCTCGATGAACAGATAGATAGGAAACCGGGTAGCGGATCGACAGACAGATAGCTGGATGATGGGCCTCGCTGCACTACTCTCGAAATGTGCAAAACGAGAGTGTGAATCTTCGCTAAAAACATGGCTAGATACGGCCCCTTTGATTTTTGACTTTTGTGCACGTCGAGAGTAGTGCAGCGATGCCCGATCTATCCATGTTTTACCGGACCACAAAAAAAAAAAAAAAAAAAAAAAAAA